TCGTAGGTTCGATTCCCGAACGAAGCATATCATTTATTTTTCTGAATGATATTAATCATCGAAAGTCAAAGGAAGTAAAATTCAGTATTGTGTAGATAAGAAAGTAGAACTGTCTTTTGGATTTTTGAAAGAAACTCTATAAAGTTTTGCAGAAGCTAGAGAATATTCAAAAAAATTTTATAGAACAAAAAACTGCTAATTTTCTCTGTCTGCGCTCGTAATCCTTTATGGCTTATAGAGTGTTGGCACTTGACATTCATAGCCTGTTTAGAAAATAGTACTTATCGTTGAATATCATATCTGTATTATTTTTAGTAGGTTTTAGTAGTAATTGATGGCTTCGATACCCATGTCATATAAATAGCATAGATATCATCGATTCATCGCTAGTATTTGTCGTTTCAGCGCTTTCATTTCAAGCAGTCGCCTCTTTTCACAATTTACGTGATACTTGAGAAAATAAGAGAAGTACTACTATCTGAACAAATATTCCGTTAAAGGTGTATGAAAGTGTTCACAATCCAAATTTGGTCGAAAACAAGATAAATACATGTACAACGGAGTATTTTACCCGTTTTGAATAAAAAGGACATTTAACATTGCTAATCTTGAATATATTTGAATCAACTTCGTATCTAGTAGTATTCTCGAGACTCGGCTAGTCACGATTAATCATCAATTTAGTTTCGTCTAATACTTTTGCGAATATCTTAAGAAAACGGTAAAAGAAGAACTCAGTTTGACTGGTATCAAATTTATTTCCGCATGATTAATTACAATTAATTGTCACTGTTCATGATTTTCTATCGATTTCTACAATTTACCACGGTTAATCGGTTCCAGTATCGCAGATTTTTCGGCATCAGTTGTTCTGAGCACAAGTCGAAATACTATGCAATATATTTGGAAGATTCAGTTATGCTACTTGCCACTTTTTAGATGACGAAACTCATTTGCAATCGGAAAATTGATACTGCAATATGTCGGAGCAACCTGTCTTACATTATTTATCGAGTAGCACAGTGTCTTATCATGATTTTCGTTGTTGCTACATTTGTCGGTGTATTTCAAACTTCCAAAAATAAATTTTCGTCTTCGGTGAGTTTGTGGAATATTAATCGTACTCTCAGTAAGAGAATATCAATACCGTTAATCAAGGAAAATGAACGTAAACATCACTCAAAATTTCGCTGCACTGGACCAGAAAACAATATTCAATCTTGGCAAGAGCGACTATGCATATTTAATGATATATGTTACAATAGCGATGCTTGTCGCTTTGAATACTACCCGTTTTTTCATAACAAGAAACGACCTATTTTCTATGATGCAAACTACGGTATGTTATTTCAGTTTGGTATGCAGAACGATGGCTCGGGTTTCCTTTCATTATCGAATATAAGGAAGAAATCGTGGGCACCAGTTATTATCAATGAAATATATCCAGTAAGAAATATGACTAGGCTTTCTCGTCTTCATACCGTTTGGGCAGATGCGTTAGGTGCTTCCAACATTGGTCATGGACTTTGGGAAGAGTTGGGTTCTATCTCGTATTCAATGGAACGACTAAATGAATTCGATCCGGAGTTAGTGATTATGCATGAAGGTAACATACCTCAAACAGCCCTTTTTCGTTCATATCAACAATATATTGTCCCTGCGTTGACTAAAACACCACTGGTTGAATTCGGTGCTTATATTAGATCTTTCAAAACAAAGTATATATGTTTCGAAAAAGTATTTGCTGGTGGTCAATTAAGCATTTTCAAACAATCAACTATTAAAGAAAATCATGGACGAGAACCGCTTTTCTATAATTGGAGGTCTAAAATTATAGCAAAAAATGGTTTTGATCCTGGATTTATTCCAAATAAGCATCAAATTATCGTAACAAATAAATCAAACTCTCAATGGACAAATCCAGCATCAAACAGACATAGGGCAATAGCCAATCTGAAAGAAGTTGTAAACTTCATTCGAAAGAGTTATCCAACCATAGACACGGAAGTTGTTGAATGGCAAAATATTCCCTTCAATAAACAAATTGAGAAACTTTTAAATACTACCATTCTGATAACACCATGTGGTGGTATTTCAATGATAATACCAATGCTTCCTCACGGTGCGCATGCAATAGTTATGGATTACTATGCAACTCAAGAACAGTATGGATTTAAACGAGGACAAAGCGCCTCAATGGAAGGCGCATTTTTAAATCACTTTCCACATGTTCGAAAACACTACTACCAAGTGTATGGATCACAGGATTACGAATTTGACTTTCCGGGAGCTAAAGATACTCGCAATGATGCGTCTGTAATTGTGAATACAACACGTCTACAATTACTAATCGATACAGCTTTAGAAGATATGCAACCATAACAATTATGATATTGTAAGAATGTTATAGACGAGCTCAACAGTATTAGCTAAGTATAGCTGGCAGCACACGAAACTAAAAAATGGTTCTTAACTTCGATACAAGTTCAAAGCAATTTATTGATTTTCATCAACGGATGAATCTGTAATGGCCCATTTGTCTAACTGGAGTAGAAACGCTATGCTTTTACAAAAACCTAGATAATAAACACTACCAAAAGAATGTCCATTCAAATGCAGTTCACATAGATTCATCAAAATAAAGAGGTTATTACCATTATTCGTACCGATTTTTTAGATACTTTAGCCACATAAAACGTTGTATATGACAGTTTATGAGGGTAATAACTCTAAAACTCTTTATGAATAATCTTAATAATTAAACTCTTGTTTTCTTTACAAAATTATGCGAACGATATAAGACTCAATAATAGACTTCTCATAGATCTTATCATTTCATCCATCTTTATCAATATACCTAAATCGCAAACTGCTTAGCAAATTATTTCTGTATCTTAGTAGTTCTCTAACTATCGTAACAATGAACTATCCAACTGTCTATCTATCCTCTCAACGCGCCATTTCATGTATAATTTAGAATATACGAGTTCCTGAAATTTTGTGTTAGAAATAGCTTTGGCCGTTGTATCCAAAGCTACTGCTAAACTTCATGAAATACGATTAAAATATATGAGAATTACCCTAAATTCAGAAATCTATGGTAAACCTTATATATTTTAACACATCTGGACTTTTAAATATCATAAGTACACTGTCATTGACACGAAATTTGAATAATCACTGCATTCATACTAACAGTCTACGTAATTGTCTAAGTTCAAAGTATATAAGTAGTTATATAAGTCACAGCTCACCGTTTTCCATCATTTGGAGGGAGATAAGCCAACTGATTCAATTAGCAAGTGACATGAGCAGAATAAGGATACTCATCCACACGTACCCTCTTGCAGCTGACAACTTGGTTGCTACTACACATGAATTCTCCTTGAACATATGGGTGCGATCAACTGGCAGGAGGCCCCATTTCGATACACTCCTATTGTACGGATAAAACATACTATTGTTCGGGTCATATAAGAGAGGATCCTAGATAACCCTAGATTGGCCCGAACAACATCATATTTTATCCGTACAATAGTAGAGAAAAGCTACCAACTCACACGATAAGCTCGTAGCTTTTCTCAACTATTGTACAGATAAAACATGATGTTGTTGGGGTCAATCTAGGGTTATCTAGGATCCTCTTTTATATGACCCGAACAATAGTATGTTTTATCCGTACAATAGGAGTGTATCGAAATGGGGCCTCCTGTCAGTTGGTCGCACCATATATATGAAACAGTATATTAAGAAATAATTGAAAATTTTGTATGAAATAGACCTTGTTTGTGATCATGTCTTCTCCTGGAATAACTTTCACAAAAGAAGGATTATTCATCTGGGCCATTTCTTTCGTGCACGGCATATAAATAAGATGAAATAAAAAAGCACGCTTTTCTCCTTTTGCGGTGACTCTAATTCATTGAAATCAACTAGCCTCACATACATACAAATATGGCTTGTCTTTCTTTTTTCTTCTTTTCATGTTACGCTTTTTTTCTATTCATCTTAGTCGTTATTGTCTTCAAAGAATGAGTTATTGTTTGTCAAAATTAGAACATTTGTACTAGTCATAATCATATGGTCTACTATCTGTGTCTCTTCAGCTATATATCCATATTTAAGTCTAACATGTAATGCGAAATAGAAAAGCGCTAAGCACCAATAGAGCTGGACAGTTAGTGTTGCTTAACGGTTATTCTACTATGGAACTGATTTTCAATTAGGGCTTATATGTGATGTAAGTAAAGAGAACACATTCAACCACATACTCACACCCTATCGAAAAGTAGCGGTCTCATTCATCTTTCTCACCGCAATAAAGTTTCAAGAGAGAAAATGTGAATTCACGGCTTATCAAACAAGATCAGAGTAATAGAACAGCTATTGTCAAGTGTATTAATGCAATAATGAGTTTCAGAATTGAATTCT